TTTTTTTTTTTTAATGTTCTAACAATAATATAAAATCATTATCTCTTGTAATTCCAATTTTTAATCAAGCGTGATATTTCTTTTAGATGTACAAGCGAAAAAAATTAATCAACCGACTACAAAAATATTCATGTAGTCAATTGCAATTGACGGTTTAAAATGCAGAGCAACTACAATGCTCCGCACAAATGTAAAGCATGTTGCTCCGTATTATGCGGACAAAATATAGTAGGGATAAACAAATCAATTAATTATTATACAAATTAATTACATACTTTATTTGTTTTTTTCCCCTTCCCCTAAAGTCAACAATTGTAGGCGTTTATAAGGTAGAAGTATTTTCTTTACCCTTTTCTTTACCTTTTGCATATAGTAGGGATAACAGTAGATAATGGGGGATAAGTGGGGATAAAATGGAAATGGAAAATGTTTCAGAAATGATTAGTAACACGGGGATTGCCTCTTTTATGTTAGTAGGTATTATTCTCTTACGTTGTTCTTTGTCATTGACTATTGATTCCAGCCTTCACAATGATCGACATCAGCTGTAGTTTACCAAAAAAAAGAGAGAGAGAGAGAGAGAGAGAGGACTGTATCTATTCAAAGCAATAGTCTTCAGCAACGAAGTCCTTGTTTTTGTTAGGATCAATACTCACTGCCTCAGCTTCATTCTCAACAATGGCTTCCTCTTTTCTCCCTGAACAAGCTAGAGTACCCCCTTCCCTCCAATTTCCCTTTCCTCCCGTCACCAAGGTAATTCCCTCCCCTCCCCACAAATTTTTAATTTGATTTTTGTTTAATTATGCTCTCAAGGGGATTTTTGGTGTGAATTCTGTGGGGGATTTTTCTTTTTGTACGTTAAATTTTAGTTGAAAACTGAGCTAATTAGGGATCTTCATTTGTCGTTGGGTAGTTTAAGATTGGATTGTGTCAATTAAAAGTGACTGCGGACAAGGAGAATAATATTCTGCATGCACGAACAGCGTTAGAGGAGGCTGCACAAAAGGGAGCCAAGCTTGTTCTTTTGCCAGTGAGTTCATATTATTCATCCACTGATTGATTTGTTAGTGAGTGTGCGCGTGTGTTTTAATTTGTCTTTAGTTGATTGATTAAACTATTGTAATTGCGGTGTGATGAAAAATTGGATATGCTTGGATCATATATTTCCACCTCCTATAAACTTTGTTTATGACAATAAATCAATTCATTGACGAGAGAAGTTGTCAAACTTAACTGAAACATACAGCTCGTTTGGAGACGTGGAAATGAGTTATTGGAATTAGAATTCATCAACAATCAATTCAAATTTAAAGGAAAATGTTATTTTCCAATTTCTAACCATCACATGCAGATCAAAGTTCTGTTAAGGTTACTTTCTTTGTTCAATTAAGAACTTCAAAACAACAAAAAATTAATTTTCCATATTTTATTTCTGTGGCTATTTTTTTCTTACAAATCTCTCTTTATTATGTTTAAGTTGAAGTTGTACTTGAATCTAAAAATGGCTGAAATATAATCTGAATCCCCAACCATAACCAATGGCATCATGTGATTTCTTGTGTCAGCATATGCGGAATAGTCAACACTTTAAGCTTTGAGAGAACGATCTTGGAATGTATTCAGATCTCTTTTTTTTATTCTCAATGCATGAACTCCTCCGTCACATTCACAGCCCATTTTGAGAGTTTTATGATAAAAAGATAACCAGAATTGGTCAAAATGATGATTTTTTCTCCATAGATAACCAGAATTGGTCTGTACTTTTGTGTATCTCATGTTGTGCAAATTATTCAATTTCTGTACTTTAAGAAAGTTCAGCGTCATTAAAACTTCTCCCTATGGAGGATTTGATCCCATTCATATTAAAAGGCAACACGTCATTTTCCTTAGAACAAGAAATATGACATCAATTATTTGCTTTTGGCACCCATTATTTTGAAGAATGAGTTTTTGAATAGTGATTGATGTAAAGAATGTGTGGTTAAAAAGTAAGAAGAATTTTTGGGTTTATGTGTAATATTATTTTATTTGAAGAATGTGTGGTTAGAAATGAGTACCGTAGAAAAATGAGAATGAGATAAAAAATGGGTGTCAAACAGGGGCTATGTTTAAGTTGAAGTTGTACTTGAATCTAAAAATGGCTGAAATATAATCTAAATCCCCAACCATAACCAATGGCATCATGTGATTTCTTGTGTCAGCATATGCGGAATAGTCAACACTTTTGAGAGAACGATCTTGGAATGTATTCAGATCTCTTTTTTTTTATTCTCAATGCATGAACTCCTCCGTCACATTCACAGCCCATTTTGAGAGTTTTATGATAAAAAGATAACTAGAATTGGTCAAAATGATGATTTTTTCTCCATAGATAACCAGAATTGGTCTGTACTTTTGTGTATCTCATGTTGTGCAAATTATTCAGTTTCTGTACTTTAAGAAAGTTCAGCGTCATTAAAACTTCTCCCTATGGAGGATGTGATCCCATTCATATTAAAAGGCAACGCGTCATTTTCCTTAGAACATGAAATATGACATCAATTATTTGCTTTAGGAAATTTGGAATAGTCCATATTCAAACGACAGCTTTCCAGTTTATGCTGAGGAGATTGATGCTGGTTTTGATGCATCTCCATCGACAGCCATGTTGTCAGAAGTTGCCCGTCTCCTAAATATCACAATAGTAGGAGGCTCAATACCAGAACGAAGTGGGGATAAGTTGTACAATACCTGTTGTGTCTTTGGAACTGATGGAAAGTTGAAAGCCAAACACCGCAAGGTGATATCCTGTGGCCACATTTTTGATAATTGAAATACATGTGTCCTTGGAATGCTGTAATTGTGTGAGAATGTGTACTTTTTAATATAGAGCCATTAATAGTTTCTGGTAGTATGTTTAGCTTTTCAACTATTTGATCACTTTTGTTCATCAATTAACTTAAGATGTGAGGTTTGCTTGGTGGAGAGATTGAACAATTTTGCTGTCTTATTTTCCAATCTTCTGAAACGTGATGTATAATTTTAACTCAACTATGTATTCTACTTCGTCGAGAAATGAAGCATGTATAGCTATGCATAGGATCAACATAAATGTTTTATTTTATTTTATTTTTGGTAAGGAACTATGTATTTTTTATTTTTTGTTAAACGGTGAAAAACTAAGCCATTGATGAGTACATTTATATTTGTGTAGATTCTTTTGAAAATTTTGCATTTGTATGGAGAAAATACCTTTTATCCATCATCAACGATGTTAAAGAGTTCCTTTTCAGAAAAGAAAGGGAACAGGAACAAAGTATTATACTTCTTTCACAACAAGTTCCAATATGTGCACGTTGTTGTGACAGATACACCTTTTCGATATTGACGTTCCTGGAGAGATTATATTCAAGGAATCTAAGACTCTTACTGCTGGAGAGACTCCAACCATAGTGGACACAGGTACTCGAAATAGCTATGCTGAGTTCATATCCGTAAGTACTAATTTGTTTTCTTTATATTCCAATGCCTGAGATGTAAGCTTTTGATCCCATAATGAGCCTTATTAATTGTTTCAAACATTCCTTCTATAGTTTAACTTTTTAACAGGATATTTTTTATCAGCAAGAAATAATGAGTAATCTGGAGGATATTGGGATAATCTTGTGTCATTGCTTTCACTTAATCCTATCGGTTCACATTTTTTTTGTTGTTGTTTTACTTCAGTGCTGTGGGCACTGCTTTTCTTACTCAATCTTAATGACCCAGCTTCATCTAAAGCGCTTGAACTAAAGGTACTAACCTAAAACGGGCTTCCCATCTCCACTCTCATTTTAAACATTTAAGGAACTCAAATAAAATTGGGAAAAATAAAAAAGATGTATTTTCTACTTGTGTAAATTTGAAATAAAAATCTAAAATTACTTCAAAAACTTCTCATCTTGCAACAGGTATTCTGATTTCAAATTTGTTGCATAACATAGTAATTCAAATTTAGCCACTATGCAAACGGTGAGGAGCAATGAAATTCACCACTAGGAGGAGTAACTCAAAGTTTTTCATCGTTCATGTTTGAGGGCACCTCTGAAGCCCCCCACTTGATACTATAATCCACCATGCCCTCCGGCATCGCCTATATATTATGTCCTGACCTCATGGCCTCAACTATCTCCTCACTGGTTAAAAGATTTGCGACCCCAAAAGATGAAGCAACCATCCTAAGATCTATACTCCCTTGATCAGAGCCCTCGCCGGGGTTTGCAGTCATTTGTGAAATTTATGTTTTTTTAGAAGAAATGAAAGTAGATGGAAAAAAGTAGAAACAAATAAATAATAGTAAATAAATAAATCCTTTACCTAAAACTTATTTGGCTGCTAGAGCTTAAACAAAATCACAAAAAAGTTGTTGGAAGTTCAACAAGGTCGTCAGAATTCTTTCAACAGTTTTTTGAGAGAGTGCTGAGCGAATGAAAAATGCCAAGTAAAAAATTTCAACCAATGAACAAAGCCTCCTTTCTATAGGCAGGGCCTCGTCCTCAGCCGTTGGATCAAATCAAGATTAATATGTGTTGGCCATATATTAGCTTCATCTGAACCTTTAAACCCAAATGCGCCATTTTGAAATTGAATTAAGGATCGGGATAAATCTGAGCATTTCAGCACGCGTAGAGGCGCATCTCATCAGAAAACGTAACGACATGCCATCATTACCATTAAAGGCCTCAGCGAACGCGTGCATTGAAATCAAGCAACGTCTTTGCTGTCGTCTCTTGGAAACACTTCACCTTTCAAATTATTATCATGCGTCAGAGGCATAGCTTCGAATCTAACTTTTCACTTGTAAAGGCTTTGTCCCTTAGACATGGGCCCTGCAACCGTGCTTCTCTTAATAAAAGAGGCGACATCCTTGAAACATGAGACTTCATCTTTGCAACTATATTTCCTTTAAGTATTGGGGACCTCACCTCTGTAGCAACACTTCGACCGTGCGAACATGCTTCACCCGCATGTTAGGCCTTCGTCCCTACAATTGCTTTCCTCCTATGCAATGTAACTTTGCTTTAGTACTCATTGCCTAGGCACACAGACCTCATCATCAATCAAAGCCCATGACTTGTATAAATATATATGCTTGGACTCGAGGGACTATTTTGTTACGCTTC